ATGCTCCTTTCTTGGCCCAGATTTGTAGAAGGCTTCCAGCTGTCAATGTGAACACTTCCCTGGTTTGAAATTAAGTCTGAATCAGCAAGGTTTTGTCAGTCTGCTGCTTAACTTGATGTGCTATTGATCACTCTCCCCTTGCTAGGCTAGGAATAAGAGTCACCCTATCTGTGCTGTTTTAACAAGTAGTATCTCACAGAGTAGTCCTTGTGGGAGGGATGCTTTTGTGGCAGCCCTGTGTTTACACCCTCCCTTGTGACCTCCTCTGGTGCAGGTGGGGGATGTAGTGGGAAAGTGTTACCTGTAGATCAATAGGGAGGGGAAACTTATGCCACTGCTATGAAAAAAATTATGGTAAAGTGTGTCAGTGTCCACTCCCATTGGTCTTGTCTTTCCAGAAGGCTCTAGTAGTGAATTGGTGAAGTTCTGGGACTTTTCAAATTGGGCAATGAAATAAATAGCACTGTCCTTCTCTTTCGCAGCATGACTACGATATGAGGGTAGATGACTTTCTACGTCGCACACAAGCAGTGGTCAGTGGCCGGAGAAGCAGACCTCGGGAGAGAGAGCGGGAGAGGGAGCGTGATCGTCCCAGAGATAACAGGAGAGATCGAGAACGGGGGCGGGATCGGGAAAGGGAGAGAGAACGAATTTGCGAACGAGACAGAGACAGGGGCGAAAGAGGCAGATATAGAAGATAATCCATCTGGAACCAGTGGTCATTTGAAACAAAACAACAAAGCTTGTATTTTTTTGTGTGTTTACAAGTAGTACATTTTATTTTCAGCTGTCTACTTAAAGTTTGTTGTGTAGAAGGTTTTACAATGACCCTCTTTGTTCCAAGCATGCAGTAAACTACGAACTGGAAAAAACTCAATCAGCCAAAAGAAAAGAATGCACAAAGTTGACTTTTGAGTTGACGTTTTTATTGGCGAATGGGAAACAGTTAAGAATGTAGATATTGGTTCATTTTCAATAAGTGTTCATCTACTTCGAGTGACTTCATCCTAGGGTTTTTTTTTAATATTGATGGATTACTGCCATAATTGTTTTGCTTTGTTTCCTTACATGTAGTTTCACATGGTTCAGTGGGGGGGAAATGCTGCTATCAAGTATGCAACTATTGAAGAATGATGATTTGACTGTATGGCAGTGTTGTAGCAGCCTCTTGTTTTTCTGTTTTTAAACCTTTGCTGTAGAGTGTTTTTTTTCCCGTCTTCAATAATGAAAGCAATATTAAGAAGACACTATTGATATCTAATTTTTAATCTTTTTAAAAAATCTCCCTGTGTTCAGTAACCCTCTGGTCAATGCTATTGTCTAGCCTCTCTCTAAAATGTACACATTGCTTGGAATGGTCACAATTTGCGTGAGGGAGCAGAAAATGTTGCTGTATTCTACATTGCCACCATTTTTATAAAAAAAATAAATTGGTAACAATTGAAGCAATTAAGTTTAGTTTTGGCTTGGTTATTTTCAAGGCTTCCAGGTTCCATGTTTGCTAATTGTTCTAGGAAGACTGCCCTACGTATTCAACAGTTTCCTATTTCCCCATCATTATAGATGTTTCCTTTGGGTGCGGTGCAACCCAGACAGCTGTCCTTAACGGGCATGGTCAATGCAAAGGCCTGGTCTGTAGAAACACTGTAGGTCTAGCTATGTTAGGCTACTGTGTTACATCACTTAGGTTGATTTATAATGCTGTCTGCACCATGCTGTGTCATTGGGAGATGCTCTCCTCTGACATGGGGATGGTTTGAATCTCTACTAAACATGCCGTGGGACATTTCTGTGATTGCTGTATTGTAAATGCTCTTGAACAGGACGGATTTGAATTTAAACTTGCAAGAGTAAAAACCAGAGAGCTGCTAGTAGTTCACTGGGGAAAAACCTCTTCTCTGCTTGCAGTTACAGGCATTTCCTTGTTCACAGTACTGAGTAAATTTTGGTGTTGAAAAGTACTGTTCCTAGGCCACGTCTATTCTACCAGTAGATTGGCATTGCTAGGGCTCGACGAATAATACAATCTACTCGCCCGTGGCAAGTAGATTGCAACGCAGATCGCTGGACAGCGTGGCTGGCGAGCCCTGGGCATTGCTGTAATTGTCAATTCAGCAAGTGTTCTAAAGAGCTGCTCCATTGATGGGAGAGCACTCTCCAGCCACCTCTGGAACTCCATCTCCCCGAGAAAAGTAAGGGAAGTAGATAGGAGAGAGTCTTTTGTCTGGATAGTGTAGACACTTGAAAGCCAACCTATGCTATATCAACCACTTATGCTTGTCCAAGTCTATGCTAGACCCAGCAGCTCAGCTTAAAGGTACACAACTCCAGCTACGTAGAGCAAGGGCTCCCATCAGATTCTCTTACTACTCAAAAGGAGCGGTATTGAATACTGGTGGGGTCACCCTCTTAACTAGACTTGCTAAACTTAACTCCAGAAGATCAATCATGGCAGCAGCAATCTTCCTTTTAGCATAGACATGGCCTTACTCTACTTCAGTTATGTGACTAACTTATGTCAGCTTATCACCATAGGATAGACAAGGCCATCTTAAGAGTCAGGAAGCTTGTGGATCTTAGCAAGTGGATCTTGTAGCTGCTGTACAGTGCTGAGCCATTCATATGCTATCTGTAATTTGCTTTCACCTTAATTTGTCACCTGAACCATGTCTTGTAGAACTACTTCTTCAGTAATTGGCAATTTAAGTGTTGTGTGGACATGCCCATCATCCAAAGAACACCACAGTATGACAGTAGCAATGAAGCCCTGGAGTGTAAAAGCCAAGTTAAGTTCTGAAAAAGGCAGCCCTTCTGTTTCCACCTACTTGTTCCCATCCATCTTTGCTCTGTCCTCCTTCTGACTACATTTTCTCCTGCTTGGCTAACTTTTCAATAACCTGATCACATAGGGCTGCAAGTGGGCCTGGTAACTTCTATGGAGAGCAGTCCAACTACACAATTGCAATGCAGTTTTTATTCTTTACTACAGTAAAGAATAAAATTGTCAGACAAGTGGATGAACGTAATTTGTTGGGGGAATGTCAGCATGGTTTCTGTAAAGGGAAATCATGTCTTACTAATCTATTACGCTACATCTACATTGGCATGATCTTGTGCAAATACTTTAACTCAGGAGTCTTTGTGGTAGAGTATTTGCATAAGAATCTACAGTGGCATGTGCCTTTGTGCAAGAGCATCCATACCAGTGTAGATGCTGTCTTGCACAAGAAAGCTCCGATGGCCATTTTAACCATCGGGCTTTCTTGCGCAAGAACAGTTGCCCAACAGGGCTTATTCCTGAGCAGGAGCATCATAGTTCTTGCGCAAGAAGCCCTGATTTCACACAGAACATCAGGGTCCTTGCACAAGAACTCGCAGCCAGTGTTGCTTTTGTGCAAAATCATGCCAATGTAGACACAGCCTTAGAGTTCTCTGAAGGAGTTAAAGGTGGACAAGAGGGATTCACTGGATATATAGTATAGTTAGATTTCCAGAAAGCCTTAGACTGGATCCCTCACCAGAGTCTCTTATAATTTGTCATGGGATAAGAGGGAAGGTCCTTTCATGGATTGAGAACTGGTTAAAGACAGGAAACAAAGGGTAGGAATAAATGGTACATTTTCTGAGTGGAGAGAGGTAACTAGTGGGGTCCCTCAAGGGTCTGTCCTATTCAACTTATTTATAAATGATCTAGAGAAAGGGCTAAATAGTGAGGTAGCAAAATTTGCAGATGATACCAAACTGCTCAAGATAGTTAAGACCAAAGTAAACTGAAGAGCTTCAAAAAGATCTCACCAAACTAAGTGACTGGGCAATAAAATGGCAAATGAAATGTAATGTTGATAAATTTAAAGTAATACACATTGGAAAATAATCAACTATATATAAAATATGATGTGAACTAATTTGGCTACAACCACTTGAGAGAGAGATCTTGGAGTCACTGTGGATAGTTCTCTGAAAACATCCACTCAGTGTGCAGCAGTAATAAAAACAAACAATGTTAGGAGTCATTTAAAGAGGGATAGAGAACAAGATAGAAAATACAGTATTGCATCTATATAAAGCCATGGTATGTCTACTTCTTGAATACTGCATGGTCACTTACCATGTGGTCACTTACCTCAAAAAATATATATTGGCACTGGAAAAGGTTCAGAAAAGGGCAACAAAAATTGAGGGGTTGAACGGGTCCCATCTGAAGAGAGAGTGGACTTTTCAGCTTAGAAAAGAGGCGACTAAGGCAGGAATATGATAGAGGTCTATAAAATCACGACTAGTATGGGAAATGTGAATAAGGAAAAGTTATTTACTTATTCCAACAATATAAGAACAAGGGATCACCAAATGAAATTAATAGGCAGCAGGTTTAAAACAAACAGAAGGAAGTTTTTCTTCACTCAGCGCCCAGTCAACCTGTGGAACTCCTTGGCAGAGGATGCAGTGAAGGCTAGGACTTTAACAGGGTTCAAAAAAGAGCTGGATAGATTCATGGCGGTTAGGTCTATCAGTGGCTATTGGCCAGGATGGGTAGGAATGGTGTCCCTAGCCTCTGTTTCTCTGGAGGTGAGTGACGGGCGAGATCGTGTGATGATTACCTTTTGCAGTCACTCCCTCTGGGGCATCTGGTGTTGGCTGCTTTCGGAACACAGGACACTGGGCTGGATGGACCTCTGGTCTGACTGCGTATGGCCATTCTTATGTCCTGGGTGGAGTTGTCTACATCTGAATTTCCTGACTTGACACTCACATGCATCAACCAGCTTTATACCTTCTTAGTATAGAAAAAAATGTAATTGGCAGTTTGACACTCAATAACAGGCAGTGCTTTTATTAACAAATCAATCTAAGGCCTTGGATACTCGGCAGCAAATATTTTGGTTAGCAGCAGTGATTTATATTTTATATTCAAGTAAAGAGCATGGACTTGCTCATG